AGAGCGGCCAGATTTCGGCTAAATTATTCTTGGCAGGACAAAACTTTTGTGAGGCACCTCCGTACAGAGGTGGCTTTCAATAGTTCTTGCTAACAGGGGTTCCTTGGTTACCACCGAAAACATAGCCGAAGACTAAGAATTATACTATATTCGCAACTAAAAGCCCTTAAAATAGAAGTTTAGAGAGAATAATAGCTACTAAAGTATACACTTACAGTAATACACTAACTATATTAGACATTATTTCTTGCACGCTAAGTAAATCATGGAAACGTTATCACCAGAATTTAGTCCGATGGATCCGCGCCTTAGAAAGAACTTTTGAAAGCCACCTCTGTACAGAGGTGGCTTTCAAAAGTTCTTGCTGACAGGGGCTGCTTGGTTACCACCAAAAAATACAGCCAAAGACTATAAATTATACTTTATTTGCAACTAAAAGGCTTTAAAATATAAGTTTAGAGAAAAGAATAGCTCCTAAAGTGTACACTTGTAGTAGTAGGCTAACTATATTAGGCTACATTACTGTACCTAGACGCTGAATTAATCGTGGAAAGGTTATGACGAGAATTCGGTCCGATGGATCCGCGCCTCAGCAAGAACTTTTGACAGTCACGTCCGTACTCTATTGCACCACGCAAGGGTCCATGGGGTGACGCGGCATTGGAGAAACATCCCGTTGGGCATTTGCATTCGGTAGAGGGTTGGATTGGGAATGGTCGGAGGGGGGGGGGTGTGACCAGCTGTAGAATGCCTGGTCTGTGCGCTCACGTGAGCGGGCGTTGCGCTAAGGGGATCGACGGGTGCCGGCAGGCCGCCTCACCGTCACCGTCTGTTCCGCGCTGTGACCAGTTCACCTTCACTCCAGACTCCACCCTGTCCCCCACACGCTAACGTCGTGTCGTGTCGCCGTTGGCTTTTTCTTGGTAGAGCTCTATTCTTACCCAACCAACCATGGCGCGCTCGCAGACAAACGAGCGTGAGTATGACACCATCGACCTTACTCTCTCCTCGCCCGAGCCAGAACCACAGCCGCGTCCAACACAACATATACGCGCACCCTTGCGGCAAACTCAGCTATATTTCGGGCATCAGCCGGCATACTACACCATGCCAAGCGTCAAAAGCGAGTCCAGCCAGCCAGCAACGCTTTTCCGCGCCCCTGCTGCTGCACAGCAAACACGGCTTATCCACCCCACTCACCTTAGGGAGATAATTTCCACCACCAGTCCCTATGCTTTGCAACAAGTGCTTCTGGAACTATGCCAAATCTCGCCTGCATTCTCTGGTGCGCTTGTGCGGGGGCTGGCGCCTCACTCAACCTGCGCTCAAACGATAATGAACCAGCTTCGGATTAACCATGAACGATCGCATGCTGGCGCTCGAAATCCCAACGATAGCGATGACGCCTATGAAAAAATGAAAAAGAAGCTAGCGAGGCCGAATCCTCCCAGTCTATACAGCAACAGACCTTCAGAGCCAGCCATTGAGAGCCGGGGAGGTCAGCCCAGACAAGAGTCGTATGCCTCTCAGACAATATCGCAGGTCAAACACGAGCCAGGCACGCCTTCCACGCCTAGCTCTGACGGAGAATTGCGCCGTCCTGGCCCATCTTCACAAAAGGTAAGGCGTCCGATGGCTTCCTCGACACCGTCGTATATTCGGCCTGAAGGTTCATCCGCACTCGATCGCAAACCAAACATATCTGTCAAAGCAGAACCAACATCTGCAAGCTCGGCCAAGATCTGTACCAGATGCCATGAACCATTCTTGAATTCTTCTGCGCCCTGTTTATACCATCCTGGCAGAACGGTAAAACAAGAAGACAGATCTGTAGTCTGGAGCTGTTGCGAAGAGGACATACTATCTGCCGGTTGCGATTTTAGGCCACGGCATACCGCCATTGATGACGATATCGAAGACACAGTCATGCAGCGTAAAAGGCCAAGCGTATCTCCAGCTCCAGAAAGTGCGCGTCTAAAAAAGCCAAGGGCATTGTAGGAATAAATCGGGTCGCCTGAAATCGCTTGTATTACTCCTTTTAATTCGGGCTAGAAGTAATGACTACTCGAGCTCTTCTGTATTTGAATTCTTCACCGGAAGACTTTGCGGTCTTTTCTTCGCTTTGCATTTTCAACTACAAAAAGAAGGTTTTCTGAGATCTTGCTACAATTTCAAGCATAGCGCGAGTGTTGGTTGAGGCATTGAAAGAGGCTTGCGAGACGTGAATTCGCGTTGAACGTGATCTACATTAGTCATTCGAATCTATTCAGGGGTTCTATTTTGACCCTGGAACGCATATCGCGCCACATGGACATAGAGTGCCTTGTTCCCCAGCACATTGAACGGTTGATCCCTTTTTAGATGGCGTACGGCTCTTTTCGGATTTCCCGATTCCTGGGAGAATCCCAAACCTTGTCTCTGAGTGCCATGCACCATGAGGTCAACATGACTCCATCACGGTTCACGTGACTAAGGGCCATTAGCCTAGTGGCCCCATTCTGTTCGCAAAACATCATCCGTTATGTCACCTAGTCTGACACCGTAGGAAGACTCGGAATCTCCGAGTACTAGTGCTCCGAGGTAGAGCTTTTTTCAGCCAGAGAAGCGAGACAGGGAACGGGCGGAACGGAAACCAAACATCTGGCGTGAGCTCGAGGGCTGCTATTGCGCACGTTAGCTAAGGGTTTTTAGGGCGAGCAAATGCGACACGTAATTTTCTTCTGGTAAGGCGAAAATACAGTTTGTTGATGTGGATCACTTCCTGCAGTACGGAGGTGGCTTTCAAAAGTTCTTGCTAACAGGGGTTCCTTTATTACCGCCGAAAATACCGCCTAAGACTATAAATCATAAGTACTAAGTTTGTAAATAGAAGCCCTTACTTAATAGAATAGTTTAGAAAATGTATTAGCTGTTAAAGAATACACTTATAGTAATATGCTAACTCTATCAAGATATATTATCTACACGCTAAAATGATAATAGAAAGTGTATTAAGAGAATTTGGTCCGATAGATCCGCGCCTGAGCAAGAACTTTTGACAGTCACCTCCGTTGAGTGAGCACCACCTCCTCAAGGAAATCGAACAGTCTCTAACTGTATTCGGGCTAGTACTGTTCGATTTCCTTTGATGAGGGGGTGTGAGGCATATTCAGACCGGGTGTGCTAATACCCTTAAGGTTTATTCATGCCCTTCTGCACGGACCTCACGTTTTATGACTAGAGGGAGATTGCGACTCTCGAGAGTTCCGACAACCCAATTGTATATTCGTGGCAACTAGTGGTCGGCAAACACTGGCAGTTCCTTCGGCATTGAACTGATCCTGCAAGTTCGCTCGTTCGACCAAGCTTCTTCAAGCTTCTCCAAGCTCTGCGCCCCAAATTGCACTCCACAAAAACACGTGTACCTTGTTTCAGCCCCCAGCATGCTTCAGCCTAGTAATTTCAGGCACATCATGAACAACACTTTTGTGCGCGCTGCCATAAACTTTATTTCTGGCTTCGCAAGCTTCTCCAAAGCCGATCCAATTCTGCAAATGCGAATGTTGGCTGCTTTTCCAGCGCAGAGCGCTGTAGTGTACTCGCATCTGGTAATACGTGCGCGACGGCCGGGTTGCTTTGCCACCTCACACAAGCCACACTATATTAGTACTTCTAGTGCTTAGACCTTCCAGAACTGGTCTCCTGATAGATGTACGTTGAAACTATAATTATATCCGAAAGAGCCCAGAATTGTGGACTAGCAAAATCTCTTCTCAGGACCCCCAGCCGTTTCATTCACAGCTGGCTAAGTGGAAGATTAGATGGCTGGCTGCCTTGCCGGACTACATAGTGCGGATTGGGAAAGGCGGCTATGTTGGTAGCTTTTTGGAATCACTGAGATCTTCCGGTAACCGTCGGTATCTCTGCGGCGGCAAGGCACGGTCACATGCTCATACGCCACGTCTACGGAGAAAATCATCTACACGCGCTGCGATACCACCACTACCCCACACATTTTCCCCGCACATTATTCTCTTAGTGATTTTCAGTAGTGAAGTCGCTACACTTCTCTAAGTCACACTCCATCTAGTGTCAAGGCTCGTGCATTGGCCCGTATCCCCCTTATGTTGGGGTAGCGCATAGGTCCTCTGCTAACTACTATAAGCGAATACTGGAGAAGAGGAGACTGCTTCTGGTACACATCATTAGAAGGGAAAAGAATGCCAGTTAGTACCGTGATCAGATCATGACATGCACTTTGGCAATACCAATTCACATATGATCTGGTATCACCTTCCTCATAATTGCATTCCCAAATTTACGTGTTGATGTCTAATCATTCTAGTACATATCATGTGGCTTGACCTAACCTCGTGCCAGGGTGCTTGATTGGAGGAATACGCAACGAATGCTCCGTGGCGATCAGCAGTGCTCGGGATAAATTAAAGGAACAACAAACCCCACGATTCACTAACCGTTTGCGAGGCTGAAAACAAATGACTCGTATGAACCGGAAATTTGGCAGCGGGTATGCCTTGCTGCTCCCATGGTTCAGGTTCTAGATTAAAAGATCTTCGTGTAGTCCAGTTACTAAGTGTCCGCTACACCTTCAATTCTTGCCCGTGATGCACTTCCTCGCTCTCCTCGCTCTACTAGCCGCATCCGCGTCAGGCCTCGCTTTCCCGGGCGCGGAAGGCTTCGGTCAAAATGCAGTGGGCGGTCGAGGTGGCACTGTTTACGTTGTTACCAATCTCAAAGATTCTGGCCCTGGCTCCCTTCGAGACGCCGTCTCGCAACCGAACCGTATAGTCGTATTTTCCGTCGGCGGTCTCATTACCATTGCCGACCGCATGGTGGTTTCGAAACGAGTCACGATCCTCGGACAGACTGCACCAGGCGACGGAATAACCGTTTACGGCAATGGCTGGAGTTTCAGCAACGCCGACGACGCCATTGTACGCTACATCCGCATCCGCATGGGCAGAAGCGGAACCAGCGGAAAAGACGCAATCACCATTGCAGAAGGCCACAACATGATCTTTGACCACGTGTCCGTGTCTTGGGGCCGCGACGAAACATTTTCCATCAATGGCAACGAAGTCGGCAACATCACCATCCAAAACAGCATCATAGCCCAGGGCCTCGAGACACATTCGTGCGGAGGCTTGATGCAGACTGCGCTCGGTAATGGCATCAGCCTATTCCGCAACTTGTACATTCATAACAAGACGCGCAACCCCAAGGTCAAGGGCACAAACGACTTCACCAATAACGTGGTGTATAACTGGGGTGGCGGGGGTGGATACATTGCAGGTGACTCGAGTGCGGAGAGCGAAGCGAATATCGTGGGCAACTACTTTGTCAGTGGGCCCAGCACAACTTTACCCGCCTTCACGCGGGGCAATGGCAACTTCAAAGGCTATGTCCAAGGTAATTTTTACGATTCCAACAAGGACGGCGTGCTGAATGGAGCGGAACCCAGTCTGTCGTCGGCGAACTACGGTGGTATGAATATCCAGAGCGCCAAGTTTGCGTATCCGGCACCAGTCAAGATCTTAGCTGCAGCCGATGCATTGCAGCTTGCTGCGAAGAGTGCTGGTGCGAGTAGAGTCCGAGATTCGATCGATCAGCGGCTCATTACTGAGTTGAAGAGCTATGGCAAGTTGGGAGAGTTGATCACTGATGAGAAGGCGGATCCGATGGATGGGCCTGGTACCATCGACCCTGGGAAGCCATGGGTGGACGCAAATGGAAATGGGATCCCAGATGATGTCGAGGGCAAATTCAAGGATGTAGAGGACTGGGCGAATAGTCTTGTGCCAAGTTCTTACTAGAGCGATTAGCCTTATGGGTCGCATTTTAGAAGCATGCTCCCAAATCGATGTCAGCTTGTACATGGAAATTTTCGAGTACTAGAATAGGTGAATTTACTATTATACAAAAGCAATTATGATGAGATTTTGCGTAATGGAACTGCAGCGCGTTGGACATGTGTTGCGCAGCTACGTAGTATAGTGTAGCAAGCGTGAACTGCTAGTAAATTGACCAACAGGAAATGAAAGAGCCCCAGTCACTGCCTTGTCACAAAAATAAAGGCGTGCAGCCGAATTCGGTGGGTTTGATCAAGGTTTTGAGGCTGACTAAGCTGATATGTGAAGGAAAAGCTTAAAGGTCATAACACAAATGCTAAATGCTGTTAGACTGAACACCACCGAATTGGATATAGTAGTGAGGAGACTTCCTCCTAGCATGTCTTCAATCTTTTGAAATTATGTTTTCATTATAATATGCAATGAAATCTTAGTTATGTGTCAGCTAAAGGATAGGTTAATTAGAAATGAAGTACCGTCGAATGTGCCGTGGCGCAATATACGACTCAGGAACCGGCAACAAGAAGTGGAGAGAAAATTATGATACAATGACGATCTGGCGGTGACCTCTGGTCTTTGATCTAAGTACATGTCCCTTTGCTGAGATTCTGTGCCTCATCAGGCAAGGCGACACGATAATGAGGTGTAGGATCCAACATGCCTGCCTTTATCGTAACCACCGATCAGCAAGGCAGGCCCGGTCCGGTTAGTCACGAAATGCCGACCCAACATGCAACCCATGTGGAAATGAACTGGCAAAGCTGTCGTTGTGGGCGATGTCTGGGTATCCCGCCCAACCATTAGAATGTTGGAGAATTTTTGATCGGTAGCACAATTCTATGATTGCTCCCATATCCTAGCGCGAACATGCCCAGCTCCGGTCCATGTATGCTTCGGTCAGAATTTGTGATCAGTTTATTCTCAATTATAACCGGGCTTATGTCTCAGCATCAACAGCTCTCAGCAGTTAACACTTGAAGTTGAATTCCTTGCCTACTGGGATTTATCCTAGAAACTTCATCGATCTTGTCTCCAACAACACTAAGCGTGGAAGGGAGGCCAGTATCCCATGTCCCTTCCTTGCCACCTCTCGAGTACTTTTATGGCTTGCATGTCTTGGAAGTGAAGATTTTGGTGTTCCAATCATCACCTAGTAAAGGTCTGACCGCCAATGATCCTCGTTGATGAGATAGATCTTAGGTTTGTATCACCTACATTGACTTTTTCTAATTGATAAGGGCCATCTAGATCGTATTGGTTCGTGCTACAGTCAGTGGAGACTTATTGTGTAGCGAGTGCGACTTGTAACGTCTGCAGAAGCGAGCTGATGAGAATGTGTGGCGTAGGCGCCAAATCGCTATTGAACAGATAACGAATTTCAGACTGAGCCAGAGGGAGCGAGCGACAGTATGGTGAGAAGAAGCTGCAGGAAACTTTAAAGACGGCTAACCGCATGACTGAGGTGAGACTGGTTATACCCTGTATGCCGAACAGAGAACAAAACCCCTGGGAAGCAGCACGGCCCTGACAGAAGAAGGTAAACGCCACCTCATTGCTGTGCTGCAGCAAAAGAAAGACATAGCTCAATTGGGATGAATCCTCGACGCCTTTCCCCGCTCCAGGCGTGACCTGAACGATGTTCTTGCAGGAAGTCTCTATTAGCAGCTAGTAACGTGGTACCCACCCCTGAGCCTTGGAGATATTTTTAGTGGCGTAAACGACTATGTTGCAAATTTGATAGAGCTTTTCCAATAGCAGCAGACATCGCAATTACATTCTCATGGACGCAGCGAAATCATGGACGTGGTGTTGAGGTTTCACGGTGATGGCGTGTCGGGCCTTCGTGATCAGACTTTTAAGTATTACTGTAAGCACCTTATTAAGTGGCACAGTGCGTTATTTTGAGTCCACTATGTACAAAAATCCCGCTGCGCTCAGATGGGCGCCCACACTGACAGAAAAGGACATTTAGATGCTCATTGCCCCGATCTGATATGCCTCATGCAATCGCATGCTCACTTGTTCTGATTCACAATGGGCTGGGTCGACGCGACAAGTGTCGGCAGCTTGACCGCAGCAACAGCGGCAGCTCTTTTAACAGCAGCTCTTAGCCCGATTTCTTGTGATGGGGTCACGCCCTTAGTATCTGAATTGATATGCTGGTTGCTTGTTCTTACAGTCATTCGCCTTTTCCCCTTACCCAGCCTGAATCGCTCGAACAACCATGGTGTCGCCTTTGCGGCTGCGCCAACATATACCTACTGGATCATTGCATCGTCTATAGCTGCCACGGCAGTCTCCTCTTCGTTTTTTGACGCAACGTGGTCTATAGTAAGCAGCCCTCTTTCCCCTGGTTCCCGCCAAGCTGCTAACAAACTCGCAATAGCCTTTGGTAGCATTCACATTGATTGCTCTATCTGGGAACACATTGATCACGCGCCTACAGGCATGGCTTCCTGGAAACTTCCGACATTCTTGGCTTGCACTTTCGATGGGTGTGATGCTGCTTCTATCGGTTGTGCCCAGCCTTGACACGAAGCAGTTAGCTTTTGCCGCCCCAACTGCTCTTGGCCTGATAGGGATATACGGATCGCTGATTCACTTGTTTGGCCGATTTTCTGGCGAGATACATGGACAAGTGCGGTCACATGCTCGACACGTGATTTTCTCTATTGCAATACGTGCGATCGGATTGCTTGCAATGATGGCTACAATCATCATGTTTGTATGGCCTGGAAATACGCTTAGCACGATAAATGCCGTCTTTACAGGCAGTATGAAGGCTGCCCATTGGGTCGTCATTTTCTGGCTGGTAAGTCGTAGTAAAATCTGAACTGTCCCATCTTAACCACTGATTACGTCAGACACAAGACACTAGGTGGGAAATTGCGCCTACGATCTGGGCTTATGTTTCTGTCTCAGAAAACTCCTTGCAATCAATTGCAGCCGGCCCATTGGGCCAAGTTCAGACATTCGCCCGCATAGTCGTTGCAGCATTGAGCCTATATCAAATCATCGACTTCATACCGAAAACCGAGAAACCACGAATGCTGCTAGTCGCCTTTGCCATATGGTCTGTTTTGTCGGTTTGGCAAAATACCTCTTTCAGTGGGCATGTCCCTTCTCTACCTGGAGTAACCTGGCCCGGGACATCCAATTCGAGTCCATATCACCCTGTTGAACCACTCATTCGCAAGGCTCAAGTAGATTTTGAGCATCTTGTCAAACGTCAGTCTAGAACTCTTGAATCTGCTGAGACTGAGTACCGAAGAAGATACTCGCGAGATCCACCTCCTGGATTTGACAAGTGGTTTTCGTACGCCCAATCCAAGAATTCGATTTTGATCGATGACTTTGACATGATCGACGAGGATCTCAAGCCATTCTGGAAAATCCCACCTCAGCGCCTTCGTGAGAGCATTGATCATGTGTCAAGCATAGAAAATCTTGCCTTGCGTAAATGCGGCATCAGCGATGGACAATACTATGGCCAAGAAGGCGATTGGATTGTTAATGATCTTGGAAAGCTTCTTGGAGAGGTGGCTAATGATATACCTAATGTCGACTTTGCTGTTAACATATTAGATGAGCCTAGAGTCATCATTACACAACAGATGCTCGAAATTGGAGGCGTTTCGAAGCCCGAGTTCTATGATGCGCATCACGTGTCAATCTGGAACCGCACGACCGAACCATGCGAACAAACTCCTACCAAGGGAAACTCACCTGCTAGCCATGATCTTGGGCTCCCGTTGGTCCAGGATTGGTACCATACGAAGGATGTTTGCTCGCACCCTGAGTTTGGTCTTATGCATGGATTCTTCTCATCGCCCATGACCTGTGTAATTACCGATGCACCTATTCCCGTTCTATCCCAGGGAGCTCCGACTACATTTGGAGATATCGTGTATCCCAGCCCTTGGTATGCTGCAAAGATGGACCAAGGAGACTACAATGGCGGCGAGGATCCACTTTGGGAACAAAAGTCTGGTAATCTTTATTGGGCTGGAAGCACTACTGGCAGTTATAGCTGGAACGGTACCTGGCATTACTCACACCGTCAGCGCCTTGCAAAGTTGGTACAGACTTTGAATCACACCAACTATGCTTACCTCAAAGAGTCCAAGCCCGGACATTGGACCAGCTACAGGGCAATTGAGAACCATAGCAATTTATTCGACGTCAAGTTTACTGCTGCCATTCAATGCGACGACCAGGATTGCGCCGAGCAGAATCAGTTCTGCAAAATGGGCGAGAGAGAAGAAAGAAGCCGGCAGTTCCATTCTCAGTTCGTCTTCGACACAGACGGCAACTCCTTCAGCGGGCGATTTTACACTTTGCTGAGATCGCGAAGTGCTGTGCTCAAGCAGACTGTTCTACGCGAATGGCACGACGAACGGCTCATTCCCTGGGTCCACTTTATCCCAGTCAGCTTATCCATGGATGAGTTACCAGAACTGATGCGATACATGACCAGTCATGAAGATGGAAAGAGGAGGGCAAAGGATATTGCAGAGAGAGCTGAAATGAACACTGTAGTGGTTTAACTCATTCCAACACGCATGACCCACCGCTATTGGGATACCACCTTCGGTACGTTGCAAGACGATGCGGCCTCTTAGTCTTGTGCTTCACGATCTACGTTCTGAATCTCGTGTCCTTGTACGAGTGTAGCTCAAGTCTTGTCACAGAGTTCACTGCCATTGAATCGTTTTGACAACTTCTCTTACCCCGCACTTGTGTACATTGTGACGGCCTTGCTATAAGTATATTCTGGTATCCTTGATTGCAAGCCACGAACGTAACCCTTTCCATATTTCTCTGATACAAGAGAATATGCGTGATTGCAACTTCCCGTGGATGGACGGAAACGGCATGAATCAGATATGACTTAAATACCAACGCTCTGATTGCACCAACAATGGGAGTTACAACACGATACTCCCACTTTTGTATAGCAACACTAAATTCGCAGATCTTGACGTCGTTGAGAACCCCCCTCGCCCCTCCACTGCCACCACCTTCCTAACCCCGCTTAGCGCGCCGCACGCGATTAGGGAGCCGTTATCACTTCCGCTCTATCTCCGCTGACATCACCGTATAGATACACCATGCGCCTTCAGTTACACTCTTATATCGTACCCTACCTTCTTGGCGTCCATGTCCACTGCCACAAGCAAAGATGGAACTAACCTGTATCGGGTAGATGGGGGTAGATCTGGGGACTTTTCCACAACGTCAGAGCAAGGGTTACGATAAGACTTGAACGCTGTGAATACTGATGTTTGGTTGATAGCCCCCTGCATTTCAGAGAAATCCTACGAGAGATAGAGATGGATTGCGATATGCCGAGTATCGGCTGTCAAGCCGGCATGTGCAAAGGTACAAGGAGCGCGGCACATTGTGAGCCGCCTTTTCGGCAAGGGAATATCCTATATACGATATAGAGTAGCAAACACCCAGTATTTGTCTGGTTGAAGGCCTTGAATTCTCAATCCAGCAAATATGACTGCCCCAGAGAAAGTGGTAGCCTCCGATTTGAAATCAAGGGATGGCGCTCCTCTTTCCCCACACAATTCCGACATCGACATCGGGAGTATCCATGAGACACGGCAGAACGGCGATGAAGCACTGAATTTTCTCAAAACAGTGCATGATGTTGGAGAACTGACTGCTGAGGAGGAGCGGAGATTGCTTCGCAAAATTGACTGGATGATCATGCCGCTTATGTGGTGTTGTTACTGCTTGCAGTATCTAGACAAAACCCTGGGTATGTTTTCCAATCTGTTTTGCACAGATTTTTAGTTTTTTAATTCAACTACATGCTGATTGTCGTCCAGTAAACTACGCAGCAGTAATGGGCCTCTACGATGACGCAAACATCAACACCGACCAGTTCTCTAATCTCGCTCTCTTCTTCTACGTCTCGTATCTCGTCGTCGAGCTTCCCCACGGCTACGCAATGCAGCGCCTGCCCACGGCAAAATACCTCGGGACAGCCGTTATTCTCTGGGGCTTGGTCACAACGCTCACATGCGTGTGCAAGAATTACGGCGCGTTGGTCGCAACACGCGTGCTGCTAGGCTGTTTCGAAGCCGCCGTTGCGCCCAGCCTAATCCTGATAACGTCAATGTGGTACAAGAGAGCGGAACAGCCATTTCGAACGGGGATTTGGTATCTTGGTGTCGGCACGGGCACCATGATTGGAAGTCTGATTAGTTTCGGCTTCCAGCATTACCACAGCGACACGTTTACCAGTTGGCAAATCATGTTTCTCGTTGTCGGACTCGTTACTGTCGTCATTGGCATCACCGGTACGCTATCTCTCTCTCTCTCTCTCTCTCAACATCCAGAGCCAAGATTCCAGCTACATACTAACACGAAGCAGTGATTCTCTTCCTCCCGGACAGCCCCATGTCGACGTCGCGCCTGACGGCCGCGGAAAAATACCACGCCATCAACCGGCTGCGCGAGAACCAAACGGGCATCGAAAACCGCCATTTCAAGCGCTACCAAGTAGTCGAGTGTCTCACAGACCCGCAGACCTGGATGCTCTCACTCATCACGATTTCGTCAAACGTGCCCAACGGCGCCGTGTCTTCGTTCCAGGCCTCGTTAATCCGCTCCTTTGGCTTCGACTCAAAAACAACTTCGCTGCTGCAACTTCCCTCGGGCGTCATCAGCATCATATCCATCCTGATCGCGACGTACCTGGCCGGCCGCTTCAACCAGCGCGGCATCAACATCTTCGCGCTGCTAATGCCCGGCATGCTGGGCGGGTGCCTGATGGCGTTTCTGCCCGGGGAATCCAAAGCCGGGAAGCTGATCGGCAACTACCTGACCAACTGCATTGGGTCGAGTCTGCCTTTGCTGTACTCCTGGGTCGCGGCCGATTACGCGGGCCACACCAAGAAAGTCACCATGAACGCTATCCTGCTCATGTCGTTTTGCCTCGGCAATATCATTGGCCCGCTGACGTTTCGCAAGGAAGATAACCCGGGCTTTGTGCCGGCCAAGATCACCATTGTGGTTACGTGTGCGTTTGCGGCCGCCATGGCGCTGCTGCTGAGGGCGTACTATGTGTGGGAGAACAGGCGCAGAGATAGAGAGGAAGAGGATGCTGGCATGCAGGTGGAGAACGAGGAGTTTTTGGATCGCACGGATCGCGAGAATAGGAGGTTTAGGTATAGGTTGTGAGGGATCTTGAATTTTTTTTTTCAGTGCGTAGTATTGAAGGTGGTGTTTGGATGTTCTGATTGTCGGAGTATATCTAAACAGCTCTTTGACTTGGAGCTTAAGGTATTACCTTTTGCTCCCACACTGATCATATCTTTACAGAAAAAAAGAATTAACCAACAAGATATAGCACTGTCCATTGTTGGAATGATAGCGCCAAACTACCTTCAGCGGCGCACCTAAAATTACGCATTGGCGCTTATAGCTTTCCTTTCATCCCATTCAACTCGTTGATAATGATATCCGCTGCCTTTTCTCCAATCACAAGGGCCGTATTATTCGTATTCGCACCTACATTCTTGGGTGGAATACTCAGATCCGCAATCTTGAGCCCCTTCACACCATACACATTCAAATTCTTGTCCACAACACCGTCCTCCTCCCTCGGCGCCATCTTGCACGTGCCGAGGGAATGCCACGTTGTATTTACATTTTCTCGCAGCCACTGCTCGATTGCGGCGTCGTCTTCTTTTGTATACACCAGATCCTGCACGTTCTGTAGCGGCGCTGTAATGGATTCTTGGACTGCGGCGGCAGAGTTGGCGGGGAACCTAGGGTGTCCTTCTGCGAGTTCGCCGCGGAAATATTTCATGCGACGCAGGATTTCGCGTTGTTTCTTGTAGGCCCAGAGTTGTTTCTTGAGATCAATGTCGTTCTTGTCGTTGAAGAAGCCTACGTCAAAGTCGAGCGGGTCGTCGTGCTTTGGGCCGGTAATGTGCATGTGGCCCCGCGAATAGGGGTATGCTGTGTAGTTTCCAATGGTAAGGTACTGTCCTGCTGGGACGCTGGTTGGGTCGCCGAGAAAACCGCTTATCATACCGCACAGCATCAGTGGTACGTTGGGATTGTTTTTGAAGTCGCGGTCCCATGCTTCGCGGAACTCTGGGCCGAGAGCGCTGACTTCTGCTTCGGTGGGCCTTATCTTGGATGATATGTCGATGGCATTCCAGCCCAGCATTGGATCCTTCTTCTCCATCATTGCAGCCACGTCTACACGTCCGCTCAAGATACCATCCATGGTATGGTGTGGTTCCAGAGAGGACTTGTAGGGGTAGAGGACGAGATGGTGGTCTTGATAGTCTTTTCCTACACCTGGTAGTTCCTCGACAATGGGTACACCGGCTCTTTGGAGAATTTCCTTGGAGCCAACACCAGAGCGTTCCAGTACTGGTGGCGTGCCGCAGGCACCGCATGTAACGACGACGAGTTTTCGGGCGCGAACAGTCTTGACTGGGTGCGCAGTCAAACCAATTGTGGACTGAAATTCAGGGTTTGGTGTGTATTCTACGCCAGTTGCGCGCTTATTGCCGTCGAAGAGTACGCGTACAACCTTTGATTCGACAAGCACGTGGAGATTGGAGTACTGCGGCTGATCGATCTTGGGATGTATATACCTGTGCGCAGTATCTTGACGTTTGCCGTCTGGTGAAATATAGCGTTGCCACCGCTGAACACCGTTATTGGTTTCGAGGTTTTGTAAATCTTCGATCTCGGGGATGCCGACTTGTGCGGCTGCACGAATGAAATCATCCTCTGATTCATGTGCACGGTAACTGCCATTACTGACATGTATAGGCCCGTCGTAGCCGTGGTGTTCTTTCTTTCCTGGTCCATGGTACGTCTCCAATTTCTTCAGGAATGGCCACATCTCTTCGGCTGACCAGCCAGGAGTGTTCCACGAGTCAAAATCCGAGCGTTGGGCACGCGTGTACATCATGAAATTGATAGAGCTACCTCCACCAAGTGTACCGCCGCATGGTACGATAGGCTCGCGATCAGCGAGTTGCTTGGCCTTGTTGCCCTTGTAGAACAAGGCCGTTTTCGTGGCGGGTAGAAGGTTTTGTAGGTAAAAGACTGGATTGACAATGCTCGCAACATCTTTGTTGTTTGCCCCGCCCTCAATCACAAGAATGGAAAGGGAGGGGTCGTTCTCTGCAAGGCGTCCGGCTATGATGCATCCGGCTGTCCCGCCTATAGAGTTTCCAAATTAGATTTAGGTTGCCAGACAGTGTGTAAACAGTTGAACCGACCTCCAGCAATAATAACATCGACCTCGTCGATGCCGTCCGCAAGCTTGGTGTAGATACCCATGGTGAGAAGTGTGAAGATCACAAAGCGACAGTGGCAATCTTACAACGCAGCAAGTCAGGGCTACTGCAGCATATATAGCCGGACATGCGCATGCTTATCCTTTTTACCCATTGAGATAGCCTTGTACCACCCAAGCCTTAAGGCATGCCGGGCTTCGTCCTCAGTGAAGCTGCCCCGCAATTCGAGTACCCTGTAAGCCCCATGTCCCATTGTCTGAAGCTTGGTGTTAGTGCTCCAAGTGGATCATCTCCGCAGTCTCATTGAGGCGAGGTGCATTTAGGTAACAGGCTAGAGGTACCGCGTGGTGCTAGTGCTCGCACAGTAGTCCTGATCCGGTATGTCGTCCATCCACGATGATTTTCGTGTCAGACAGAACAGTTACACCGATTCTAGTCAAGTTTTGGTCAGTGTCAGCTGCTCGTCCCCGCAATCTTGTTGGTTCGATCGACTGCGGCTGCCCCTGTTTGCGAATCTGATGTGTCCAGCATTACTCGAATCGTAGGTGTAGAATATTGAGTGCACGAAGGGGTTACCTCGGCATATTGCGTACCCCACTGACGTGCGCCCCATTAGGTACGCTGAGCTCAAGTAACAGCCAATGAAACACGCAGCAGCATCATGCAGGGAAAGAAATTTTCGGATAGGTAGTGCATTAGGAAGTTCCATTTGCAGGTACATGGAATTCTCGGCCCCCATTTGCGTGTCCAAATGTCCCAAAACGCCTAGTCTGTACGGTCCTATCATGACTGCAATTCTGGCCAATCAGACATGCGGGGTTGCCCAAACCTACTGAGGCCTGGGCATCGGAGGAGCCGTCTTGGCTGTTTGCAGAAAACGAATAGATCCACAAAGATCTTGTCAGATTGAGCGTACAAAATTTCATCAGCATGCATGCGTTCCGCAAGAGGAACCGCAGTGGCAAAGGAGCTAGAAAAGCCGATCCAGACCCATGTCGACAATGTTCTGAAACTCGACACGGCGCCTGCCCGCAATACTCCGCTTACTGGGTCTGGAATCGGCGGCGATGTAGTGCTCCTTAACCTTGACCGTAGCGGGTAGCGTGTAAAAGGGTCCCAGAGTATCAGTCATGAGATTAGCACTCTCGTGATCCTGTGCGGAGTCATGCCTGTATCATCAACCGGATTAGCATACTCTGTGTGTAGTCTGTTGGCGATTGCGGCTTACCAATGAATGACAAGCTCGTGTAGGTCGGGTGCCTGCGACAAGATCTTGTATAGGAAACTAGCTCGCTGTTGAAGGAGAGCAGGGAAAACGGCCCCGACGACGCCAGTTTCCTCGGCGCGGATCCAGGTAGAGTCCCAAACGAAAACGGCTTCGACCCTTCGAATATTGTGAATGGGTGAAAAGGCAGCATCCGAAATCTGGCCTAGGGCTTCCTCAAAGAAAGACGTATGGGCAAAGCTGGCGGTTGGGTAGATACGCAACACAGCGGCATCGTAAAACCAATTCTTGGCCTCGATGTACAGCTGCTGGCAAGTCAAAAGCAACTCGACAGGCGGTGGATGGTGGGTCAGGCGCATAAACTTGGGAATGAATCGCCACTTCTTATGAGGTCGTACGGTAGGCGTAGGAGGACGCAGCTGAGCTGTCCGCGCCGAAGCACCGTGACTTTCCACGACCTCACCCTCGTTGTCATGCTCGACTTGTCCGGCATCGTCTTCGATACCGTTGTCTTGTTCCTCTTCTAGGCCTTGTTCCTCTTCTTCCTCATCATCTTCCTCGCCCTCTCCATCGTCCTCTCCGCCTTCAACTTCCTCGGCACTATCTCTCTCCTCTTCATGCTCGTTGTCGCCGTAAACTGCCCGTGGTGCAGGTCCATCGGGGTTCTCGGATATGTGCTTAGCTATGAGTTGCTCGACCTCGTTCTTCTCGAACCAGAAACGCAGCAGCTCCTTTGGTGCACTTTCACGTGCAGCTGCGTGCTCAAAAATGGTGTGTCGTACCTCGAGGGGGAGGCTCACGAACAGCGATGCCGGCTTGTCGGGCGCCATGTCGAGCATTTGGCGGTAGTTGAGTAGTAGGTAGCTTTTTGCAGTGGGGAGTACAGGGCAGAAAAACGGGGTAGTCGTGCGTAGTATATTTGTACGGAAGCGAGGGTGAGGTCAGGGCGCAAGCAAAGGCTGGGACTGCTGCCTGGGTGGGGCTGCAAGCATTTGTGAAGGTGAGAGAGAAATTAGAAACAAACTCTCGCCCATTGGCGTAACCGATATTCATGGTGACAAAAAGGCGGACTGCGGTTGGTCTTTTCCTCAATCACCGCTCGCCGTGCGTCGAGTCGCGGCGGCAATCACTGTGGCGCTTTTCCTACGTGTCGGGAGATGCTCGGTTGCCAACCACCAATCTCACTCGCCTCAAATCCCTCACAGGCTATATGCGCTTATTTCACTACGAGTTGAGCCTATGCAAGCTGCACAGAGAGAGGTAAGCGTTACATTGGAAGTACTTACTTGTGGAAAGTGGTATCAAGCTTTCCAGCCGGTTACAAGACCCTTCTCGGTCCGATGGGGGCAACTCCAATATGGAGCTGCAACTTCCAGGGATTTATGCCTTTTGTCTTGCCATCTTCATCTCTCTAGCAAAGTCTCGGAATTCGCCGTAAGAAGGTGCTGGCCCGTTATGGCACGACTACCCTTCGGCTGGAAAGCTACCCCGAAGCGCCTTCTCACAATCACATGGCCAGAACCCTCACACGAGCCGTGACTATCGTTCTGCAAGCGGCTCCTACTGAATTCGATATACTCCCCGTAACACTCAAGGAAACGGCTCCCTCTTACGGCCATGGCTCAGGTAAACAATACGATACATGCGGCAGTAGCAGCTCACCTTCGATTCCCACCAGCCGGCCACCGTGCTCGCCCATCTCATGGTATATAAACCACTCTTTTCCTCTCAACACTCCAATCTTCCTCTCACATCCCCATCATCAACTCTTCTATCCCATCCACTCTTCTATTCATCCATCCAGCATCCATACCCCCCTCATCCGAGCAGCACGGCAGCAGTGTTCATTGTACAGCAGCAACCAGTTCATCATGCGTTTCGGCGTCAGCATTCTCGCCGGCTTCATTACCCTGGGCATTGCTACACCAGGTCTTCCACTGTACAAGTCAGTTCCCACCAAGTCGTCGCGCCACACACAAGCGACTGAACCCGTCCCCATTGACGGTGACTGGAGCATCGGTTGCGATGAAGATAACTACTGCTCGTACTACCATGCTTCTGCCGCTGCTACCGATATCGCTGCTTTGAAGTCTCGTGGCGAGAGTACTGCAGATGACGGATTGGCTCCACCCGGCCAGAACGTCTCCGTCAGTACCGACTCACACTCGCTTTTCGGGCGTCATGCTGCCTTCACAGGAGACCAGTGTCAATCCTGCGACAACTCCAACTGCCCAGTAAGTCACGATGCACAATACACGGCTGTTGCTATCATGTACTGACGCTCAATGCTTAGGACTGCTATGGGGATTGTCCAGGGTGCCAGCACTTCATTTGTGTGGATGCAGCATCGCATTTGTCCATGTGCATGAGCATCCGGCCCAAGCTGCTGCCTCCCTGCTACGACAATCTGCCACCCATTGAGATCGAAACCACAACCGTCCACGTGGTAGCCGTCACGGTACCACCGGAGCGTCGCACTCCTGCAGCTGAACCTACATTGCCATCGCTCCCTACATCAGCATCTGCCCCTACTTCAAGAGGCCTCTCTACAGTGAAAACAATTCCTATCCCAGTACCCCTGCCCTCAATCTTCACGGTAACATCAGTGGTGACCAAGACCGTCACAGAACTTATCCCACGCCCACTGAAGAGCACGTCGACGGTGCTTGTTCAAGTCACTCCCATCATAACCACATCCACATGGACCACTACCGTCACCTTTTCCAGCTTGGCTACTGCCGTCACGTTCACAGCTCCCTCACCATGGTCTACTACCGTCACTCTTCCCCGTCCCTCACGTTCCAGCAGCACGCCCACGATCAAGCCCATTGTACTCGCAACGCGAAACACGCCGCTCGCCTCAAGGATTCCCGCCGCTACCAGTTCCGCAGCTCTCCCCAGGACAATGCCCAACACGGCACGCGCAACCCCCGGCTCTGCACCACTATCTCTCCAGCATGGTGGCGCCCCCGAGAACAGCGGTTGCAAGCTCTGCGAGGCTCCGGCCGACTGCGAGGTATGCTGATTTCACATCAAAACAGCACCTCACCTACTCATTCTCGTCTACCCCCTAGAGCTGCGCCTTCTCCTGCGACGACTGTGTCCGGTTGTCATGCCAGAATGCCTTTAGCGACTCGGAAATTTGCATCGAAGTCTCGGACGACCCGGATACCGATGGTGCAGTGGCCAATTCCACGGTAGCAAGCGACGTCGTGCATGGCCGCGCTGGCGCCATGTTCATGCCGCAGGACGAAGAAGATGGCACTGCGTCGTTGGCTGCTCCTCGTGCCTCCGAGTGTATTGTCTGTAATCGCAAAAACAGGTCCTGTCGCCTCGTAAGTCTCCTTTCCCCCCCCCCCTTTTTTTTTTACAACGTATTCGAGCTGACCATGTGCACAGTTCTGCAGGTGGAAGTGGCCATGCAGCTTGAGGACCATGTGCACAATCCATGGCGAGAATGGACTTGAGCACACTTGCCATGAGATGCCCAGGCGGTGTGCTGGTGCTGGAGCCGACTTTGAGGGAGGTATGTAAATGACGCGCTGGACTGGCAATGGTTTGCTCTGGATTTTCTTTGTCTGTTTGTGGCTGGGTGGATTGGTTCATGGGCTGACAGCGGTATGTGTGTTTTCGTTGACTGGACGTTCCGCTTGTTCACCTTGGTGTTTTCCCTGTTATGAGGCACGTTTCGTATTATTCCTTTTTGCTTTTTCGGATGCATTTTCTTTCTTTTCTCTACGGCGGATACTGAGTCTCTGCTTGTTCGTGATGCTTCTAAAAGCATGTACCCCTTTGCAAGTCTCTGATCATTGCAATTCTGTTTAGACGCTTTCAAACACACCCATGTTATGAGCCTCTACGGCCATTCTCATTCTTATGACTAACGTCCTCCATCAACACACTCATCAACTTGAACATCTCGCCCGCGAGTCTCTTTCCCGTCTCTCTCCACTCCTCAGCACACAGTCTGCCAAAGCGATCAGGATGCCACTGGAGGCGTTCCTGGCGCAGCCACTCATAGCTGTACAGGCCACTTGCGCGCAGCAGCTTCTCGACATCGTGCTGACACGCATGTATGCTATTCTCCTCCGACTTGAGCATCTTGCACGTTGTCAGCGAGCACGTCGTCACGCTGCCCGGCAGATACGGGAACATGGTGAAGAGCTTGGGCGTGCAAGAAGACCTCCGGCTGAGGGGCGGAGGCGTAGACGACGGATCCGTGCTGCTGGAGCGCGACCGGACCTGCAGCTTTCGAGGTGTTTTTGGCCTCCCGACTGCGGTGGCGGCCGCCGCAGCTGCAAACATGACTGATGTCTCTGTAGCCCATTTTTCATACAGAGCCTGCAACGCAGCGTCCTGCTTGGCCTCGGCAGAAGTCGAGGGGCTACCGTTTGGCATCTGGCCGTTCGGCTGGGACGTGCTTGGGCTGGGCCTGTGCTTCTGCGACTTTGCTTTGCCGAAGAAGTTGAGTGCAAAGGCCTCGAGCGCGTCTTCGTTGATATCGTCAATCGAGCCCGCCCACGTGCCGTCTTTGCGCACGGCGATGAACTGGTCTGCGCTGGTGGGGTCGAGAGCAATGAAGGCGAGGCTGCTCCATTTAAACCCCTTTTCCGCCTTCCACTCGTCGACCGTCTCTTTGTAGATTTCCCACGCCTTGTCGCCGCCAAACTGGCAACTCACCTCGCCGTATTCACTCATGGCGAAAAAGGCGCCCTCGGGCCCCCACGAGATTATGCGCGGCGGCCCAACGCGCCATCCCGACGGCGTCAGCCAGGACTGCAGGGCGTCTTCCAGATTCGGGGGCAGGTTTGCCCAGCGGATGAGTTCAGGATGCCACACGATGAACGAGTCGCCTGGGCCAAGCACGGCACGCAGATGCGGCGAGTGCCATGTCTTGGTGAGGATAGTCTCGAGACGCGACGGGATGGCCGAGCCCCATCGAATGCTGCTTCTCCCGGACGAGTCTTTTGAGCTGAGGATCCACGACTCCGGCACCGAGCCCAAGGCCGCCCAGTGGACCTCTGCTACCGTCCGTCCGACCAGCAGGTCGCGGAGGCTAGGCGGGAGTTTGCGACGGTGCGTATGTTAGCCGGGTTGGACGGGGGCGCGCGAGAGAGGAGAGAGCAGCGTGTCTACATACTACTGCAGGCCTGCAAAGCTCCGTGCAATGAAGCTGTCGTTTGGACCAAAGGAAAAGAAGGACGACGAGGTGCCGGCGGTGCCACTCATCTGCCCAGCGTTGCGCGCAATTGGGTAGCAATCAGCTTATGACGTCATCTGCATGGAACCCCTCGAACGAAGGCGCTCCCATTAGCCACGACGAGACTCATCAGGGCGGCATTGCGCGTGTAGAGACTCACAGACGGTCGCCCTCTGTCCGGCGCCTCGAGGTTTCGTAGAGGCAGTGCAGTGCAGTGCAGTGCAGTCAGTCTAGCCCGGCGCCGTGCTGGCGAAGCGCTCCGGAAAGCAATAACGGCTTATTCCTGTTTGGACCCTGTAGACGATCAAGCTTGGCAAGGGTCAACACGACGACCGGACTGCAATGGCTCTCTCTTTCTCTTTCTCTCTCTCTCTCTCGCGCCTCTATGGGATCCTGATCCTCACCCCTCGTTCGCTTTATGTATACCGACCCACTGCTGCCGGACCGCGCACACACCGCTTCGACCCATCTAAAACGCGCCATCCCCTTAGCGAGCCCGGCTTTTTGGCCGCAGCAACAGCAATGTGCGACTCGACCTTTACCTTTGGCCAGCGCGGCAGCCACTGGATGCAGTGTCGGTCCAGGCGAGAACAGTATGCCTAATTTCTCGGTGCAGCCGGTCGTTGTTGTTGGCGTCGAAACTGGCAGACGATACTGATTTTTGCTGGACGTCCATCTAGTACACGGCTTCCCCACCAGTTGACGCGACTCCTGGCGTCGCCGCACTTGACGCTGCTGCATCATGTGACGTTAGGGTTTGAAGATAGTTTCCTCGTTACTTGGCGCGATGCCTCTGGCCAGGACCGCGTCGACGCCGCGGGGCTGCCACCCGAGCTGCTGCAGTTTGTCGGCGCCTCCAACCGCAACGTCGCCCACATTCGCTGCGCTCTGGGCCCCTACAACGAGTCGTTTTTCGTCCACGACAAGACCTCGTACCTGTGGAACAATCTCCCCGGCAAGCTCGTCGCTGCCATCCAGAACAACGTCAAAGATGGGAATTGGATTGATCGCCCGCGCCTGGTGGCCCTCGGCGCAGACGACAATTTCATCATGCTGACCGAGACCAACGCTGCCGTGTGGCACCTGCAAAACTACAAGCCACTGATGCCGCTGCTGGCGCAAATTGACATGGCTGATATACATGCCTTGACTCTCCATGCATACCGCTTCGATTGCTTCCTAGTCCAGACCAAAGACGGGAAGCTCGTGTACGAAAATATACCCCCGCATGAGGTTCCAGCCGTCCAGGCCATGGTCAAGCCCATACTGCATGATACCAAGGACGCCCAGGCACGCCGCTTCCCGCGCAGAGACAGTGCCAGCACGGCGGCCGCTAGTCCCCAGCGGAGACCCACGCTTCTCCAGCAGCGCGCCCAGCTGCGCAGGGAATGGACTGAGCATAGCCAAGAGTTTACGGCACAAGCAAAGGGCGTCAAGTTGAGCTTTAGCCTGAGTGTCAATCTAGGTGGACTGTCGAGAGTGCTTGGTTGATTTTTTTTCTCTTTTCTTCTTTCTTCGCTTCTTTAACAACTTATTCACTTTATTTTCGACATTTGTATATTATAGGGATTGGCGTTGTTGCAGTATACATGATTTAATTCGATACACTGTAGAATCAACATGGATATAGAAATATCCATCTCACACACACACACACATACAGACACACAATTCACATACATGTTCCCGACGCAATTACAAGCATAACACGAGATTTCAACTCGAGTCCTACTACAAAGTGCAACACTTGCAAGAGCGAGCTTATGTACCACGCAAAAGACTAAGCCACTTTATCTTTCAACTGCGGATCCATGCGATAAGCAAAGCAAGTAAAGTCTCATACAAATCCTACATCCAAGCCCAGAATACCTTACACAGCCCTTTCTTTCTTTTTTTCTTTCCTCGTCCACCTCTTCTTCCACAGCCTTCTCTTCCTCTTCTTCTAATTCACATTACATGTATCATGTACCATGTATCCTTTACAATAACCACATAACTACACATAACTACACATGTGTGAAATGAGGAAAGAGGAAGCATGTTGGTGTTTCAGTCACTCCATCTTCAATTCATATCATTTCATTGCATTGCATTGCATCTCTGTTCTGTTCTGTTCTGTTCTGTTCTGTTTGCATCTACACACTTGTTCTCATTCACATATCTCGTCTTATTCCATGCATTCTTCCATCCATCCATCCATCCATCCATACTTTTCTCCGCAAAAGACATAGCGCGGGAAAAAAAAAGAAAAATACGAGGATAGCAAGACAGGTAGGTAATACACGGATAAGTTTAACAATCTGAGTCTGATTCTGTTCTTCTCCTTTTTTTTGCCCTTTCCTTTCTCTTATTTTCTCTCTCTCTCTCTCTCTCTATGTGCGTCTGTCTGTAAGACAGTGTAAGACAGGGTGAGTGAGTGAGTGAGTGAGTGAGTGAGTGATTCCAATCCTGAATGCATAGCTGAGAGAAGAGTTTTGTTTTTTTTTGTTTTTTTCTCAGGTTCAAATTGAACATCATGATCATCAACAAAGGTTGGAAAGAAAACAAAGGTTGGGAAAGAGAAAGGTGAATTGAATTGAATTGAATTGAAAGAAGAAGAGAAAGAAAGTGCATGTGTGAAGAAAAAAAAGAAAGATAGAAAGAAAGAAAGAAAAAGGGGAAATGCAGAATGCGCAAAAAAAGACTACAAGATCTGAACCGCACACATGCTTGTCTAAGCGCTAAAGGGCCAGGTTGACTGCCATCTAGTTACGACAGAGCTATGTGAGTATCTTTTTTGCCTTTGGGCTTTTAGTCCTTTTTTAATTTGATTGCAGAAGAAAAGAAAAAAAAAGGGGGGGGGGGCAAAGGGGCAAAGGGTATAAAGTGCAAAAGAAAAGGCAATCGCTCAAATTGTGAAGGAAGAGAGAAAAGACGAAATAGTAAACAGGACAACGCCGAGAGACACCCCAAAAAGGCCGTTAATTAAATTGCACACACACACACACACGCAAAAAGACACCTGCCCAATAACAAAGGTCATCGTGTCGCTTGAATCCCAAAGCAGACTATACCATGTGCTGAGACTTCAAGTACCCATCAAAACACGTTCATCTAGACATTCATCTACGATAACCAAGGCGTATTTCTCTTATAAGCAGCACCATCCAAATCATCGTCATCAACCATTTCGACTTCGAATTTCGAGCCGAGAGCCTCATTAGCTTCTTTGAGCATGGCCGTCATCTGGAGGCTCATGCGGCGCAGACGCTCGTCTTCCTCGTACTCCTCGCGGCGGACGCGGTCGATGAGGCGTTGGCTTTCCGAGGCGAACAGTGGACTCGAAGCAGTCGTGTTGTTTGTGCCCATTTCAAAGGCGACGGGGGAGCCGAAGCTCTGGCGGTGGTAGGATCGGGCGCGCGTGTGCGAGCCGGGCGAGACTTTTGTGCTGCTGTGGAAGGGCCGTCTCTCGGTTGTTGAGCGCCGCGATACGGGGATGAGCGAGGGCCGCTTCTGAGACGGCGTGGCGGGATTGGCGCGCGATACCGGTCGCGGGATCTGCGAGGGCGAGCGTCCGTGGCCGGGGGGTAGTCGTCGCTCTGACAGCCGTGGTGTGTTAGGCATTGAGTTTGTCTCACAGTTTGCTCCGACCATGACCCAGTTGTCTGCTGTGCGTAGGCGCTTCGCTAGCCTCGGTGGCTCAGGGGGGATGGATTCGATGGATTGAATGCCGTAGTCGTCGCTCGGATAGAAGCCAGGGGTAGGCTGCTGGACAGGGCCGGGTTGATAAGGATCGTCTTGCAGGCCCAGCTTCGCAGCAACCTTTTCTTGCGAGTCGGCGTCGAACTTTTGCCCGCCGCCTGCCTGGAAACCGCGAAAGGGCACCGTGCAAAACTCGAATAGCTTGCCAGCTACTCCGCCGACGAGGCTGAACAACGACCAAGCCTTGCTTCCATTTGGCGTCGTGTGCATCTCCCCCGCTGCCGCTTGTGTCGCAAGGCCAACCTGCGGAGGCGCAGGCACGGCCCAGGTGCCGCGTTGTGCCTGGAGGTTGAAGTAGTCGTCGCAGTCGCCATCTCGCGTGGTAAAGGTATGCGGCCTGTCCATCCCCCCAGCCAGTTCGTAGCGGTCGTTGGCGAGCGGAGGCGGGCTCTTAGTGTCTGTAGAGCGCGAGCTGAGCAAGGCGCCAACGTTCCATGGATTTACCGCCGTATCGTCGCCATATCGGGAGCGCTTGCGGGTCTCGTGGGCATCTGATTCAATCACCGGGCGACCCGTGGTTTCAGGCGCAAGCGAGTACCGCGGCGTCGAGTCGAATAGGCTATTCCGCGAGCTTCCACGTGTATGCGATGGCGAGAGTGTATGAGGCACGGGCATGTCGTTGGGATGGGCACTTGGCTGCTATGCAGGGAGGTGGATCGGAGGCTGCCTGCGGGAGCGTTTGGTCAGGCACGGCTAGCGGACGAATGATGTCAGGCGTGGTGCAAGGATGGCAGAGGCTGCTTCTCAAGCGCGTTTGCTGGTCCGCGGTCCCCAGGTGTCGGAATATTAATTAGAGCTTCATGGTAAGGGTAGCGGGTGGTGAGCGGGATGAGGGAGTGGGGAAGCGCTGCAGTGAGCGCCGTTTGTTTGTGTTCAGCCCGTCGCTGGGGTAGCCTGGAGCTTGGACAGCAACGGCCAAATTAGATGGACCGCATCGTGACATGGCGGAGCGTCGCGCGGAGGTTACATGGAAATGCTTTATTCAACAAGCAATGTGCGAGCGCTTATGCCATCTACGAATATACAACGCCTCCCGTGACCAGGGTATCCCTATACCTAGACGCCAGTGAATCAGCAGCTTTGTCCCCGTCAACGCCAACCCGCTCAACAAGTACTCGCTACGCCCGCGCGATCCACCCGCTGTGCACCAGATAGTCAAACAGCTGCGACGACTTGTTGGCGTCAATCTTGCACATTTCCTTGGCCGTCTTCTTCTTGAGCGCACCGCCGTTGTTAAGGGCGGCGCGGATCATCGTCTCCTTGAGCGCGAGGTAGGGCTTTGGCATGATGCGCAGCACGCTGCACAGCTCCACCTCCTCCGAGTTGAGCAGCTGCAGGTCCGCCTTGGACTCTTTGCCAAACTTGAGCGGCACCGTGTTGGGAAGCGGCTTGGGCACAAACTTGGTTTTTGTCTGCTGCGGTGTGAGAGCGCCGTTTGCACCGTTGGCGCCGCTCGAGGCGCCGTCGGGCGGCGGAGTAGTCAGTCCGCTGCTCTGTCTGATGTGCAAGGGAAGCTCTTGTCCCAGCAGTGCCGTGGCCGCCGATGGCTGCTCAAAGGGCGGCTGCGGCTTGGCCATCCTGCTCGACGCAAGGCGGTCAAACTGCCCAATGGGCGGCGGTCTGGTCTGGCGCTGCTGCTTCTCCTGCTCGTACTTTTCGCCCGCCTTGAGGCTGGTAATCTGCATGTTCCTCCACTCCTGCAGCTGCGAGATGGCCTGGCGCAGGTTATGCTCGTACTCGAGGTCTTTGCAGAACTGCTCAAAGTCGGAGTGCAGCATCATCCTCGCAAACGGCTTGGCCTTGTTCATGAGATCCTTCTCCTCCTTGGTGCGCTTCTTGTCTGCCAGCTGGTTCTTGCGGTACTCGAGCAGCTGGTGCTCGAATATAATCTTCTTCCGCTCGACGCGCAGGTCGAGGCGGTGGTTGTAGATTTCCATAATGACCATCTTCAGCTCCATCTCGGGCTCGATCTCGCCGGTGCGCGGGTTGATGCCATCGCCGGGGTCGAACTGCATGTGCTGGACCGCCTCTTCGGCCTCGTTGAAGTACTCGGTTTCAAACTCCAGGCGGCCGGGCATGTAGCCCTGGACCTCGTGGCAGGCGGGCACGCTGGCCGTGGGCTTCTGCTTGGGCGCGTCGGGCTCGCGCGCAGCCGCCTCCTCCTTCTTCTTCTCAATGCGGCGCTTCTTCCTCGCCTGGAACTCATGGCGCGGGATGCGGGTGCTGAGCTCGGTGTCATCCTTGGTGCAGTGCTCGGGCAGCGGGAAGCATGGGCTGTTCAGGTACGTGTCGATGTAGTGGTCGCGCACCTCGTCCTTTTCGCGGAAGCCGCCAATGTGGTCGGCAATGTCTGCCCAGGAGCCGAGGCCATATGTCTCTGCGCCCTCGAGCAGGGCCAGCTCCTCGTCGGCGCCCCAGTCCTCGGTGTAGATGGGGATCGAGTGCTGCTCGATGACCTTGAACTTGTGCTTGGCGGGCTGGTGGTCCTTTGTGGCCTTGGCCTCGGAGAAGCATGGCACGCAGAGGTCGTAGTCGTGGCAGACGTCCTCGGCGCAGCGTATGCGGACCGTCGACGTGATGTCGGACGAGCACACGTCGCACACGTACTTGGTGCCGCCCTCGGTGCCGCGTGCGCCCGTCTTCTTCTTAATGACGCCCATGGCGGGCGGCTACGGGGGAGGGTAGAGACACGGGCGAGGTGAAGCGCACTCGGCGAGCGCGTCGGCGTCGGGGGGGTTTGACGGGGTGAGGGGGGTGAGGGGGACAGCTGGTGAGACAGGCCCGTGTGGCGGTGCGTAGGTGCGGTTGCGGTTGCGGTGCAAAGCAAACGGCGCGTGTCAGGTGCGACACGGGGGGGCCAAGGGGCGGTAGAGCCGCACGCTGGGCTGCAACACGACACGGCGCTGGGGGGGCCGCTGGCTGGGGGGGGGGAGGGGATGGCGATGGCGATGGCGGGTGGGCGTGGATGCACACGAGGTTGTCCGCGGCGGAAGCTGTAGCCGAGGCGTGTGTGGACGGCTGGCTGTAGTATGGATGTGCTATGTATATGTCGCCATATACACAGTGCTGTGTATGCATGCGCATGTATGCGGCGGCCACTGGGCATGCAGGCGGCGACGGCGACAACGACGACGACGACTGCACCCGCGGCGGCCAGCCCGTCGCAGCAGCAACACGTCGCAGCAACACGCCG